AAAAAAAAAAAGCTCCTCCCCCCAGTTTTAATTCCCCCTCGCCCTCCAAATGGGTTTATCCTCCCCTACCAGTCCTACCTCCCCTCCTAGGCCCCTCATCGTTAGCCATTTCACCCCTAAACCGTCTAACCCCCGACTACCCTCACGGAAGAAAGACAAGGCTCTCTTTCCCTCTTCTAACCGTTTTTCTGCTCTTGCTAATCCCGGGTCTTCCTCTTCCCCGCCTCCTGCCCCTTCTGAGATCGAGGATGATCCTCTTGATCAGGATGACCTCCTTGGTGAGGATGACATTATTGAGGTTGAGTCGGATGATGGCGACACCGCTCGATTTTTTACCGGTGATATCACTTCCTACCACGTTGATCCGAAGACCTCTCAAGAGTTTGAGCAGATGGACTCTACCCCCTTCCTATGGTCCAGTGATGTTCTTTGCCTTGTGTTTCCCTCCTCCTTGTGCTCGTTGTGCCCTTTGTGCTTCTTTGCCCTCTCGGTTCTCTTGGTTCGGTTTAGGGTGAGCTTGTCTTAGGGCCTTTCTCCGCCCCTTGTTGTTTCCCCGTTTGTTGCCCTTGCTTGACCCGCCAGGGTCCTTGCCTTGGTCCTTTTTCTGGTGGATGTGGTTCGCCCCCACCCGAGTGCGTCTTTTATTCTAGTGTCTATGGTTTTTTTTTAACTTGATAGGAGGGGTCTCCCCCCTCCATATAAAAAAAAGTATAATATAATATTATATATTATAAAATATTTAATATATCATATTATACAATATATCATATCATTGTATAAAATATAGAATATTAAGTATAGTATAATACGAAAACAATCATGGGCATCAAAACTATTTAGCCCATAAATGAAATTAAAATAAATAAATCATTAAAGTTAATAATGTAATATTCATAAAGGGTGGTAAGACTTCAAAGATACAACCTCGAAGCTCTGTATGCAAGTATCATATGTGATTCATCGTCGTATTAACAACTCCATACGATTAAACGTATCACATGTGATAATTAAACTAACATTATTTACCACAAAGAAAACCCAACCTAACAATTCCAGAGATGGGAAGGAAGACGGTTCTACACTGCATCAACTACGTGACGACTTTTTTGTCAGTTTTTTCCTAAATCAATTGATGTATATTGGTTATTTAAAAAATATGTTTGTTTCTACTTCAAGAAAGGTGGTAAGGTCTCAAAGATACCACAAATCCAAGCAAATTATAAGCAAGTGGATCTTCGATCTATGTATCGCACCATGATCAACCTAGGTGTCACAAGTGAAGCACCATAATCGCACATAAACAATCAGAGTATCACATGTGAATAGGGGCGGAACACGATCATTGTAACCTGGGGAGCGAAATATAAGAGTATCTCTAATAGATTCTCCAAAATGAAGAAACTGGAGATTTTACGTCTATTTTTGCTCAAAGAGCTTCTTCAAAATGAAGAAAACATAGAGAAAAAGTATAAATTTCTCCAAATTTGGAGAAGTCCCGAAAAGTTATTACAATGAGAAACATTTTTTTATTATTCATACCGATAAGAATCCTTGATGTTAATGGTTTATAAATGAAAAATAATATTTTATTGGATATTCAAATTATTTAATAATATAATTAATGTTTTAGTCTTTAAAAATAGAGAATAAGTTGGAGATGAATGTAACTTTTTTTAAAGATTTTGAGTTTTACTTCTCGATTTTCAATTTTTTTTGGAGAATCTGTTAGAGATGCTATGATATTGCAAAAATTCATAAATCCATATGATACGTTTTTGAACTATTAAATTGTACAAAAAGATTGGTTAATATAAGATTAAAACTCGAAACATTAAAACGAACCGAAAAATAGTAATACAAATTTAAACATTATTCCTTTATCTATACTTTATTATAAAATATTTGACAAAAACTCTTGAAAATAATTTTTTATGCATAAAATACTGTTTATTGATTCATATTACTTAAAGTCCAAGACTAAAAGTAAATTGTACGTAAGTACAACTTATTAAAGCTTCACGTTTAAATTCGTGTAACTAGTCGCAGATAAATATAATCAAATAGATAATAAATATCTCATTTTAAATAGTAAAATTTTTAAAATATAATTAAGATAACTATTGACTTCCAACAAAATACTTGATTATTATATTTATAAAAAATTATATTATTGAACTAAAAGTAAAAAATGAATTAAAGAAATACAAAAAAAAATGAGAAAATTTAAATAGTTAGTTTGTACTACTATCAATATTTTTTTTCAATTTTTTATGATATCTTCATATTTATATTTTATTCAAAAAATAAAAACATTATCGTTTTATCAAAACCACATAAAACCGTATTATAACATCGGCTGAGACAAAAAAAACGAAATATTAAAATCGAGATGTATCTCGCTGCATTGTTCGAGTACCCTTCTAGTATTATTTAAAAAATAATATTTACAAATAACTAATATTAATAATCGGGAAACATGATTTCTTTAAATTTAAAAACTAATACTTACATTTAAATTAAATATTAATAATTTAATATAAAGTGAATAGAAAGAAAAAGGGTTAAATGCAAGGGACGGGTTTCAAAACTGTGACCTTAAGGACGTACGCTACAAAGTGATTACCAATTCATCTGCTTATAACATACGTACTTTAAAGTTAAACTATAGTATTTGAGGCTAAAAGCGGGGTCGCAATCGCCCCCAGAGGCTGCTATGGGTTCCGCCACTGCATGTGAAATCTAGTAAACGAATCTAGAGATTAAGCAAATCACGTTTGATTCATCACCGCATTAATAACTCCATACGGTTAGACATATCATATGTGATAAATAATCAAATTAACAGTGATTTAACAAATCATGTATGATACCTTTTCGAGAACTTTATATCCCCCTGTAGTAATAATATTTGCCACCAGTTCTTCTTAACCCTCATCATCATCAAATGGGTCATCTATTGTGTTTACATGCTTGTGTAACTGTGTGTTCGATAATATCCTATAGCTTCACATTTCCTAGCACTATCGTATTTAACATATTTCAATTTCAAAACCCTGGAATTTTCAAGAATACGCAAACACTTCATGAACCCAATATATTCATTATCTATCGATACCAAATCCTTTGCCGATCAATCACTCCATGAACCCAAGCTCTTCCTCCGGTATCTACCTGACGCCGATTATCATAACAAGGGCCTCTTGCCACTGTATAGATGTAGGGGACTTGAATTTGGAATATAAACATTGTTCAACTCAAGGACCCTGGGTTCTTATAGATGTCACATTCTTACAGATGTCACAGCAACCGGCGCAAATGTTTTGGTCATAAACACAGACTCTCAAAAGTATATTTACTGATATGTCTGTCGGGAGATCCAACCAACTCCCTGTTGGTCGCTTCATCTACACACACTTCTTGGGTTTTCGAGTGAACTTGCACTTAGGTTATTTTTAATTTAACTTTGACATGAATGTACAAACCAACCGTAATGTTACACGATGCCATTTAACTAATACAATTATATAAAGTGGCAGTGCAAAATCAAATAAGCGAATACCCAAGAAGTGAAAGTTCACTCCAAAACCAAAGAATTGTTTGCAGATGAAGCGACCAACAAGGAGTTGGTTGGATGTCACAGCAAATGTAACGGTAAATATACTCCTAATAATCGATGCTTATGACATTCTTGAGAATGCTAAAACATTTGCACCAATTAGCGTGACATATGTAAGGACCCTACCAATTGAATAACGTTTATCATCAAAATTCAAGGCCCCTACATTCGGAAAGTTGCAAGGCCCTTGCTAAGCGTAAGCATGTTATGGACAAAATGTCACCATTGTGGATATTTCTTTTGAGAAGCTTCTTAAATATGTTGTTGATAGGTATGGGAGCTGATTCTTTTGTCATATTTCATCTTAGTTTGTATCTTTTATTATTACATTCTAAATGATAATTAGCAAACTCAACTTAGCTCTTATCTTTTATGTATATATGGTTGCACCAAACAAAACCCAACCAACGATACAGTGGTATCTTTCATAGCTATAAAAGGATTTACAATACGACGGGGTGATAAAAGCGATGGCCCACGTCACTGTATGCACTAGTGTGGGTCCAACCCTACATTGGACCACTTGACCAATGAACCAAAAAACTATTCATTAGGCCAACCACAAATTTAGCAAAAGGCTCCATACACAAAAACCAAAATCTTTGATATGTTTGAGCAGAAAAATTGAAATGACCCACAACTGTTTAGAATCTTGATCATCAAATTTACATTACCTTGTCTTTGTTTCAGAAGCGATCCCAAAAGTAAAGTCGATCATTTTTGTGGGCAATAGCAACAGCTTCAAACAAAATATCAATGACAATTTATTAGTACACGTTTAAATTCGAATGCAACACTTACAAGTGCTATATAATACACACACACACACACACATATATATATATATATATATATATATATATTTCCAACTCACCTTTCTGCATAACAGATTATTCAAACATGTCCATGAAAGTCAGCATCTCGTTCAACTCCTCAACCCTTGTGTTACCATCGTAGTTAAAAGCCGAGAAATCATCATAGTCAGTGTAATCCTCATAGTCAAGGTATCCATCATATTCATGATCATAATCATCATCATCGTGAAAATCAGAATCATCTAAATCATCATTTCCATACATATATGGAGAGCCTTCAAGAGAATGGCCAGGGAGTTTTAGACATTTGATCTTCTCTGAACATCTTTTCCCCAGGTCTCCCTTGAGATCAAGTGACCAGCACTTTCGCAAATCAAGTGATTTAAGGTGAGGACAACCATCCAGAATGACCTGCAACCCAATATTTGTTAGGCTGTTTCCAATCAGTTCAAGGTGCTCCAACTTGTGTAAGTTTTCCCCAATAGCTATGGCTATCTTATTACAAGTATCTTCGAGCCCCTCATAGAATGTTCTTTCATTTAGTTTGAAAGTTTTTAGCATAGGGCAATAACGCCCAGCAGTTTCAATAGCTTCTTTTGATATTTCTCTCGAGTAAAGACTAAGCTCCTCTAATAACGGAAATTTCTTCAAGGTTTCAGTCCAGCTTCTATATGGATCAGTATAACCATAGTAACATACGATTTTGAGACGTCTAAGTTGACTTGATCTGCACGAGGAACATAAATAATCAAATGGCAACATCGCTTAGTGGTGCATATCAAAATATTACAACTTTAATAGTTAACTAACAAAAAATCTCAGACCGAATCCAGTCTGCTAATTATCGTTCAAAATGTAACTAAAAAATATAACTAAGGGTCCGTTTACCACAAACTTACCTAATGTCACTTACCTGATGGGTAAAAAAGTAACACAGAGCCTCTTTAGCATTAATTATAAGCACAAATAAACAATTCCAATAAATTCCGGTACCTATCAGCAACATATTGAAGAATCTCATCATCACCAAAAGAACCGATGGTAATATCAATCAATTGGCCTTGGCTTCTATCCACAGCATGCTTACACATAGCAAGGTCCTTCGACATTTCATTTTTATACCAATAATCCATACAAATAACCCTCCACATAGAAGGATCGTTGCAGATTTTTCGCCAAGTAGTGCACACTTTCTGGGCATTCTCAAGTATGTCAACCACGTGAACTCTGGAAAGTATATTCGCCATTACATCTGATGGAAGCTCCAACCAGTTCCTTCTTGGTTGTTTCACCTGCCATCGCTGCTTGGGTTTTGGAATGAACTTGACCTTCTTGGGTTTTCGACGATTTGATTTTGATGTGGATGGCATCATCCCTTTTGCATGTACAAAACAATCATAATTTTAGATCAAGCCACTTACATATACATATACAAACGTATCTATATAGGTATATATTAAAAAAATTTGTTAACATATTTAAAATGAATAACCATACAGTGATACAGGGTAGATGAACCTAAATGATTTTTCAGACCTGATAATCAAACGCCCTAGAAATTTTCAGGAAACACAATTGCAGGATGCATTCATAATTACCAATAACAAGAACATGAATTTGACTTGGCATAGCAAAGTGGACAGTCAAATTTCACTGTAACATCATCAATAATCACACACTTTCTTAAGCCTTTGCATAGGTCAAAGAGAATATAGACTGTTTATATGCTCCTATTGTCTTCCCCAATGATCACAAAAACGCTTATTCCTACATTTAAAAGATCCAAGTGTTTATGGTTGTGAAACTTGACTACTGGGAATAATCCAGAGTATCTTACACATGATTTTTCAAATATTTACTCCATGTTTATACGCCATATGTGCTGTTGTTTTGGTCTCTTTTAACCTGCCTCTATCTCGTGTTCTACTTTGTATCGTATATGAGTCCTCTATGATCCCATTTACTAGCTCTTAGTTCAATCCTGGTAATTAGTACAGTTACCAATTATAATGAAAAACAATATATTTCTGTTCGTATCAACAATCATAGTTATCTGGTTTTAAATGTTACCCTTGGGAACCTCTTCATAATTTCTGCTGGTCTATTTATCTTGGACAAGTTCGTAATAATGATGATCATTTATCTTTATCCCTTTTTGATTTGTTTTGGCTTTTGTTTTTATGTTTATTGGTTCAATTTCAACTTCATTTGATTACTTACTTTTAATGTTTGATTTGTTAAAATTTATATATGTTAAAGAGGATGAGGGTTTTATCACAGAAAGAAGATGAGGGAGAATGACGCAAGTCAGGCATTTTAACAAACACTTGGCCTACGTAAGAAGAAGATGAAAAACGACAATCAGGCAAGTCAGGCCTTTTAACAAACACTTGGCATACATAAGTAATGAACTCTAAAAAAACCTGTGACGATAGACTTATTTTATCAACGAGAACAGGCAAACCAACAAAATCAAAATCCCAGTTCATGTGATAAGCGAAAAACAAAGAGAACAGTGAAAATCTTAGAACTGAAACACAGCGACCAAACAATATATACATCAAGAGCATATTTCAAGCAATACAATATCATTATTCATCAAAATAAACAAACCCAAATCAGCAAAACCCAAACAGATCAATGAAATCGCATTGTTCATACCTGAAATGGCAGATGGAGAGCGAGGATGGGGATGGGGAGAGGGAGAGGGAGAGGGACGAGCGCGGAACAGAGAGAAACGATGGGCCGATGGCTTGAAATATACTCTTCAATTTTCTGGAGTAAATTACAGAAGTGGTCCTGATATTATCCAATATGACAGTTTTTATCCCTAAACTTCATTTATTTAAATTTATCCATGAACGTTGTAAAATCTGTCAACGGGTGTTTAGTTCGTAAAATGGAATTCGTTGGAATTTGAATAGAATTAAATAAAGATTGAAACATATGTTTGGTGGATAGTAATTGAAATGTAATCTCTCAAATAAATTTGGATCTGTATGTTTAGTTGGTAGAATGTAACTTTAGAACTGAATTGAAAGTATAATAAATGATCAAAATATTTTTCTTACTACATTTTTATATTTTCTTGCTTAAACAATAACAAAACGTAATGATAAAATTAATTGTAAGATTAATGGATGGTGGTGTAGGCGGTGGCAGTCGTAACAATGTGGCAGTGGCAACAGTGGTGGCACGGGTGACGACAATAGTGGTGGAGGGTGAGGGCGGCAGAGGTGATGGCATTGATAGTTTTAGCGACAACAATGAAGAATCAAGATTTCAATGGTAACAACTAACAAGCACGCATTTATAGTAGGCTACGGTTTTTTTTAGCTTTTAAAAAAAATATAAGTAATGATGATTTGAATTCAATCACGTATGTGATGCAATGAAGAATTCGCGAACAGTGGAATTCAATTTGCAAATCAAACAATTGAATGGAATTTGGTTAACCAAACGGATGCTCCTACTCTTTGGTGTGACAATCAGAGTGCTTTTTTGATTACTCACAATGACGTATTTCATGAACACATGAATCATAATAAGATTGTTTGTCACTGTATTCGGCAACGTCTGATGCAAAAGACGGTTCATCTTCGTCACACTTCTTTCATTTCTTGGCTTCAAATCCCATTATCCCCACATGTGATCAACAAGAACAAATATGATTTTTTTTTACAAACATGAATATGACTATATAATCGTATTTTTTGAGTTGAAAGAGCTACTGATTTACATCTTCAAGTTGGTATTCGTTGTAATTGAAACCAATACGAGGTTTGCCCATGCTGAAGTTAAGGACCCGTGCATTCATATTGTATTGTATTTTTCCCTCGTAAAGCAGTTTTCGTATGTAGTGTTCTATGTCTGAACCAATAAGTCGTAGTGTGTACTCCGTCAATGGTGCTCCCTGTTTTCAACATCACAACAGAAGTAGCAAATTAGCAAAATCCAAATGTGGACATATGCATCATGTTTCGATCATCTTTGCCCATTGGTTTTATTTTCTAGAAGTTTCCCAAAACTTATTGAATAACCAAAAAAATGGTTTTGATTTGATCCTATTATAGACCGATTTACATTGTGCACGCACTATAACAAAATTGATTGCATAGATGTTGAAGCGTCCTAAAAAAATACTTCATAGAACTTAAGTTTATAGGATGATGCCAAAAAGCGTTCTATTTAAAAGTGTTATAATAGGTTTATAGGATGTGTTTAGGCGTTTTAACAAGTTTTTTAGGATGCTTTTAAAATAAAGTGTTATATTAACTATTTTATACAACACCATTTGAAAAGATATCCTATAAACACAAATGTCTTGTAAAAAGACGGGTTTACAGGACATTTCTCGAAAGTGTCATATAAATAGCTAATAAGACACTTTATTTTAAAAGCGTTCTAAAAAACTTGTTAAAACGCCTAAAATCGTCCTATAAACTTATTGTGATTCTTTTAGATATGATGTTTTATAGTTTGGTCCTATAAACCCTAAGTTTTAAAAAAATATTCTATTAAGACGCTTAGACAATCTACACATCCTATAAAACCAATTTTGTTATAGTGACAAGTGGTGACCCTTGAAACAATGATACTGCTTATGATCGAAAGGTCATGTCACGACAATATAATGGGCTTTTTAGGACACCCAAACATCATTGGGCATCTTAGTAGCGTTCTTGACATGATTTTTTATGTTTTAAGACGTACTATGTCCTACACAATAATGTTACAATAAGTTGTTAGGACAAAATTAGGTAATCTAACAAGTTTTATCGATGAAGTTGGACAATTTAATAGAACAATAGAAATAAATTGACGTATTACCCTTTTTATGTTACGTTTTTCGAAAATGTCTTACTAAAAATTTTGCCCTTCCACTCGACACTGTCGGATCACTAAGGACGACTTTCGTCAATGAGCGCGTGGTAACAATTCCATATTAATCTGAATCAATCCATACGCTCCCATTGATATCATTTGAAAATGAGCATTTCAGATAGAATTAAACTTTCGATCAGATGAATCGCTCCCGAAAAGGAATCTGTTTATTTGTTATTTTAATTTGATTCTTGAATTTTTTGTTATTACTATATGCTATTTAAAAAAGAGTAAATTATATTTTTAGTCCCTATGGTTTGGTGAAAGTTTTTATTTTCATTCTTATAGTTTTTAAAATTACAGTTTCCATCATTCTGGTTTATAATTTATTATCTTTTTCATTATTATGATTTAAAACCTATTATTTTTTTCGTTCTTATGGTTTACAATTCATTCGTATTTTTTTTCCTTCATACTTAAAAGTAGTGTTTAGACTCAAGGACTAAAATAGAAATGAACTGCAAACCATAGAAATAAAAACTGAAATTTTGAAACCACAAAAACAAAATCAACAATTTTCAACAAACCACAAGGACGAAAAACGTAATTTACTCTTTAAAAAAATATGGTTATTTTAAATTTATATTTTCTCGTATATATATCCATGATGTGTTTTACTTTAAATATATTATTGTGTTATATATATATATATATATATATATATATATATATATATACTATAAATTAGGAATAAGGAGTATATAGTTGATATATATGTTTTCTTATTAACTTGGATATCCAACTCGTTGTGCGAGTCGATTAATCCTAAGACGACCACTTGCTTTGCAAGTAGTCCGAGTCACCACATTTGAACCTCCATGGTCACAAGAGGATTTTTATTCATTCTTGGATTTGAACTTAGACGACCAACTACTTTTAACCTTTGAAGTCCAAGCTCAAACCAATCAGACATCATCCGATTGAATATATATATATATATTATTTGGTGTTAAGATAGTGAATAGTTCTGAAATAAATTATTGTTTATTCCTTTTTGTGAAAGAAAAATGCAAATGATTAAAAATGGTCTAACATCATATGCAAAATGGTTATAAGTAAAAAAGTATAACGTTTCTTCTAATTGGAACACTCGTAAGCGTTTCCGCTTAACATCAAACACCTCACTTCCCAGGACTGGCTCTACTGAAAACTTTGGTGCATAGAAGTATATATGCATGAATTACACATAAATGTAAATGCATATATATAGGGGCAGATTTGGTTGAGAATTACATTTCAATTGTGAATCAGGAAACGATCGAGAGCATCCCACATGCCTGTGACATTAATTATGAACGTTGCAAAAATTTCACAATCATTATTCATAATAATTATAGATACCTGACATGACATGCTCTCGATGGTCTCATAGTTTACAATAAAAACATGGTTCTCAATCAAACTTTCATATACATATATATATATATATATATACACATATATATATACATACACATATATATATACATATATATATATATATACATATATATATATATATA